GTATATCTGGTATATCTGGTCTAGCAAAAGGTGTCGTGGTTGCCATGGTGACCAGGGGCCTGGTGTCGTTCCTGGCACCCTAAAGCTGTTCTCTTTCCTCTATTTCAGACGAAACCTGACGAAATTGTCGCTGATATTCAGTCACATGCTCGCCGAGCTCAAAGCCATCTTTCCCAACGGCCTGTTTCAAGGGGATAACTTCAGAATCACCAAAGCGGATGCCGCAGAGTTCTGGAGAAGATCGTTTGGGGACAAGTGAGGCGCTTAATGTGTTCTTTGTTCTCGTAACTGTTTAACATGCCACGAAAAACAAAAAAAACAAAAGAAGTTGGACTTTGACAAGCTTAAGGAACAGGAAAACAGTCTGATTCTTACTGCATTTCTTGCATTTCTCTGAATTTCAGGACCATCGTGCCTTGGAAGGTGTTCCGGCAGGCCCTGCATGAGTTTCACCCCATCAGCTCAGGCCTGGAGGCCATGGCTCTCAAATCCACCATCGACCTCACCTGCAACGACTACATCTCCGTCTTTGAGTTCGACATCTTCACCAGGCTTTTCCAGGTGCGTCATTCAATCACTCCATCACTTCCTCCAAGCACAGACTAGCTCTATTGTGCCTGAGCTCGGTGTAGAGGAAGGTCTGACAATGACTGTTGTTGTGTGGCCTTGTGCTGTGGGTATGGAGGCTCTGTTTGAGTGTGCGTGTCAGTGCTGATGCTTCAGTTCTCGTGGCTGGAAGCCAGCCTGAATGGAGGCCTCTTATTATGGCGTTATTTTACTGACAAATGTCGAGAGCGCATTATTGTAGCGCGAAAGCACATTAATACAATGCGCGAGCGCGAATCTCTCCGCTCGCGCGCGGATTTCCCTTGCTCTCGAACAAAACCGGACGCGCTCGCTCAGACACGTTTTAAGTGCGCGCACTCTCTCCGGGCGAGAGCAGCGTGTACCTGAGTGCGCGTCCGGTTTTGTGCGAGAGCATGGGAAATCCGCGCTCGCGCATTGTATTAATGTGCTTTCACGCTACAATAATGCGCTCTCGACATTTGTCAGTAAAATAACGCCATACTTATCGCCTTTTGTAGCTCAAACAGGCTTGTCTGCACTCCTCCGAGCACACGATTTCCTAAGAGTATGGGGCGAGAGATGATTTGAAAGTGCCTCAGCTTTAGAAGAGAGGTGTTTGACTTATTTTAATGGCAACTGCTGCTAACCTCTCTGGGATTTTTTTTTTGTTGCTCTAATTATATACCCTTTGAGAGCAACAATACAGAACAGAGATGTTTGAGGTTTTTTTGTTCTTCTACTTGACACACTTTTTATTCTGGAACCACATAATTAGTGGTATTTGCTAGGGTAAGATTACGATTACTATTGCTCATACTTGGGGTTGGGGATTTGAACCAATTTCAAGTATTTAGCTAGTCAATGGATGATAAACAAAGTTGACATCAGAATCGAAATCCAAATCCAAAGTGTGTAAATTGAATCAAATAGAGAAAAGTGTATATGCAAACTTTCTGTGCTACAAACATGAGTCATACTTCAATCATGCTATTATTAAGTTATTATACTTAGTTTTCACCTTTCATACCAATAGCGAATGCATAACATGTCAAAACCACTCAGAAAACACTAGTGTTCAAAAGTATGGAAGCGGTAAGGGTATTTTTTTTTGGTTTTTTTTAAGAGCATTAGAGAAAAGTCTCTAATGCTCAAGGGTGCATTTATTTGTTCAAAAATACAGTAAAATTTGTAATATTTGTAAAATGTTATTACAATTATTTAAAATAATGTTACCAGTTTAATATATATTCAAAATGTAATTTATTCCTGTGATGGCAAAGCTGAATTTTCAGCAGTCATTACTCTAGTCTTCAGTATCACATTATCTTTCAGAAATCATTCTAGTATGCTGATTTGCTGCTCAAGAAACATTTCTTATTGTCAATGTTGAAAACCTTTAGGCTACTTAATATTTTTTTGGAAACGATGATACATTTTTTTCTGGTTTCTTTGATGAATAGTGTTCAAAACAAGTCTTTACTGTCACTTTGATCACTTGAACGCTTTCTTGCCAAATAAAATTATTAATTTTCTTTCAAAAAATAAATCTGACTGACCCTAATCTTTGAATGGTAGTGTACCTTAACATCTGCATTGCAATGCTCTGGCAACCATCCACAACACCCTCGCATCCTGATGACGAGTTTTGTCACTCATTTTCAGAAAATGTAAAAATCTAGTCATGTTGATTTTTCCATGGAACAGTTGACTATTGAGATTAGAATATGAATCTATAATATAGCAGCTGTTGAATGCATCATCTGTCGGCTGCTTGGCAGTGCTGTCTATGTAATGAGCTCATTATTCAGAGTGCTCTTGCTCAGACATCTCAGCGGTCCAGAGCTTTCTCGTTCCCCTCTCTCCTCAATAGGCCATAATCACATCTATCCTTTAATTAGCCTTCCTTACTTCACATCAGAGCTAATTTGGGAAAAAGGGGGTCAAGATCATTTTTATGACTGATGCAGCTATAATCAAACGTGGCCTTTTTGATACATCTAATAATCAAGCTAACATTGACAGCATGTCATAATTCATGTCGTTATGTTGGTCTGTTAGAGCGCTTAAAACGGCTGTGGCACGGCTGGCCTTGTGCCTGTTCCAGTTGCAGTTTAGAGCGCTTGTGCTGCACCGTACCTCAGCTTCATTCATGCAGCCAGAAATAGCCCGGCTGTTTACAGAGAGGCCGCAAAGCTTTTTGACGAAGCTCCACGTAGCAAGGTCACGCTTCTCATCAGCATCTGAATGAACCCGCCCCGCTCGAGAGCCAGTCACAGGCTTTTTTTACTCCTTCCATTCGGCAGCCTTTTGACTGTGAGTGGACTTTTGTGAGATGGATACCTCAGTATGAAAACCGGTTTTGTTTTATGTATTTGCTCAGTGTACACAAGCATGATTAGGCGTCCTGGGTTAGGGTAGTAAATACTGAAGATTTCTAATAATGAAAATATGTAATCTGAGAGGGGAAAAGGTGGGTTGGTTGACCCATATTTGCTCTGCAGCTATTTGACGTGAGTGTCAGGGGGTGTTTCAGCTGATGCACAATGCATTTTGAAAATGTGTGAATGCAGCCCGCTCTGAGGTTTTCACAGAAACTGTGTCGGAGCCACTACTTAACCTGTCGTGTCCAAAAACAAACATGGGGGATCGTGGTCTTTTTTTCTTAGTCTAATTAATACTTTTATCAAAATGAAAGTGACTGTAAAGATATTTGTAACATTACAGAAGATTTCTACTTTGAATACTTTCTTTTTAACTTTCTATTCATCAAACAGTGCTGAAAAAAATGTATCATGGTTTCCACAAAAATGTTAACCAGCACAACAGTTTTTAAGATTGATAATAATAGTAAATGTTTTTGATTAGCAAATCAGCATATTGGATCATGTGACACTGAGGACTGGAGTAATGACTGCTGTAAATTCAGCTTTGCCATCACAGGAATACATTTAGAATATATGAAGCTATGAAACAGTTATTTAAATTTTTAATAATATTTTACAACATTACTTTTAATCAAATAAATGCAGCCTTGATGAGATTTCTTTCAAAAACAAATCTTACTGAACTACAGAGTATGTAATCACAAGCTGACTTTGATGTAACGGTCAAAACTGATTTAAATGTCAAATATATAAATAAAATATTAGAGTCATCGCAGTCATTAGAACTGTGGTGTATGTCGACTGAATGCTTACTGAATTACACACTTCCAGTGTAGTCGGTCTGTGTTTATAACTTTCAGTTTGAGCTCTCTGATTCTTAGTCCAGCTAACAAAATGGCTTTAAAAAAATAATTTACACAAGTCCCGTTTTTATAGGCTGGGAAGTGAGTTTTTGCTCTGACATTTTTAGACAGAGAAATTTGCGTAAGAGCAAGCTGTTGATCAGTGTCAAACCACTTTTTTAAAAAAAGGAACAAGTCAAATTCTCAGAAGTGTTTGTCAGTGACAGGAAGTGCCAGTTTTGCCTGAGGAAGATGCCATGAACACATGGACAAAGTCATTTAAAAGTACTTCTTAAATAATACTGTCACCCTAAACTAGAATATTGTCATCTGCTCATTAGATGTAGCCTATAGATTATATCAAATGAGCATTTGACAATGTTATTTCTCAGAAGTACTTTTAAAGGACTTCATTCATGTGTGATATATATATACTGGTCATTTGTCTCTATTGATAAACTGTGTCTGTGAACAACAGTCCTGTGGTTTTGGATGAGCTTTAGAAAGGGAAATAAGATTGACGTGCGTTTTAAATTTGTCAGGTGTGGCTTCACATTGGCATCTTGGCATTGAATGAAACGCCTGTTTTACTAATTGGACTGGCATTAAAGGGTTAGTTCACCCAAAAATGAAACTTCTGTCATTAATTACTCACCCTCATGTCATTTCAAACCCGTAAGACCTTCGTTCATCTTCGGAACACAAATTAAGATATTTTTGATGGAATCTGAGAGCTGTCTGACCCTGCATAGACGGCAATACAACTGAAATGTTCCCAAGTCCAGAAACGTAGCAAGGAGATCTGTAAAATAATCCATGTGACATCAGGGGTTCAACCGTAATTTTACGAAGCTACGAGAATAATTTTTGTGCGCAAAAGAAAAAAAAACGACTTTATTCAACCATTTGTCTCCTCTGCGTCACCCTAGCGCCATTTTGGAGAGTATCAGCTGGACGTAAACAGCGTATGCTGTTCTGTGTCAGCTGAGTCACGCCGGATCTGTTTCCTACGGTGTTGTGATTTGAGCTGAACGAAAACAGCATATCCGTGTGACGCAGCTGACACAGAACAGCATA